GCTCCTATATCCAAAGAAAAAATATGAATTGGTCTTGGGCCATGGAAGAGCCCCCCCAAAAATTTGAAAATCAAGAAAGAGTTGAAGAAAAATTGGGAAGAGAAATGAGAGTGATGCAAGAAAATCACACAAAAAAGTCAACAACTTGGTAAGAGACACAAAAATACTGAAGTATAAAATAACACCTTAAAAAAACCAGATTAAGCCAAACAGTAAAAGACGTCCAAAAAGCCAATGAGGGGAAGAATGTCTTAAAAAGCAGAATTGGCCAAATGGAAAAGGAGGTCCAAAAGCTCACTGAAGAAAATAATTCCTTAAAAATTGGAATGGAGCAAATGGAAGCTAATGATTCTATGAAAATCAAGAAACAATGAAACAAAACCAAAAGAATGAAAAAATAGAAGACTGTGAAATATCTCATTGGAAAAAACAACTGACCTGGGAAATAGACACAGGAGAGATAATTTTAAAATTATTGGACTACCTGAAAGCCATAATCAAAAAAAGAGCCTAGACATCATCTTTCAAGATATTATCAAGGAAAACTGACCTGATATTCTCGAGCCAGAGGGTAAAATAGAAATTGAAAGAATCCATTGATCACTCCTGAAAGAGATCCCCAAATGAAAGCTCCTCGGAATATTATGGCCAAATTCCACAGCTCCCAGGTCAAGGAGAAAATATTGCAAGCAGCCAGAAAGAAACAATTTAAGCATCATGGAGCTACAGTCAGGATAACACAAGATTTAGCAGCTTCTACATTAAAGGATTGGAGGGCTTAGAATGTGATATTCCAGAAGGCAAGGAGCTAGGATTACGACCAAGAATCACCTACCTACCCTGCAAAAATAAGTATAATCCTTCAGGGGGAAAATGGACATTCAAAGAAATATAGGACTTTCATCATTCTTGATGAAAAGGCCAGAGCTCAATAGAAAATCTGACTTTCAGATAGAAGATTCAAGAGAAGCATAAAGAGGTAAACAGGATAGGTAAATCATAAGGGACTTAACAAGGTTAAACTGTCTACATTCTCACAAGGAAAGATGATACTTGTACCTCATAAGAACTTTCTCATTATTAGGGCAGTTAGGAGTATATCTATATACAGAGGGCACAGGCATGAGATGAATATGAAAGGATGGTATCTAAAAAAAGGAGTGAGAAAAGAATGTCCTGGGAGAAAGGGAAAAGGAGGGGTAGAATGAAGTAAATTATCTCACAATGTCCGGCCCATAACAGGTACTTAGTAAATACTGATTGATTTGACTTTAACTAATAGCCCTTCATACCTCTCCTGTACACTATCACGCGCTAATCTGATTTTTGTTTTTGTGCCTCTCTACTCCTTTATTAGGTAAAATACTTGAAGGCGGTACTTACGTCTTCTTTGTCTTTTTGCCACCCTCCAACTAATATAGAAGTTGTCACAACACAGTTGCTTAGTAAGTGTGTGTGGATCTGAATTTAATCTAGAGTCTTACTACTGAGGGACAACTTGAAATGTCATAGAACAACTTGCAACTAGGGTTTTACCCATAGATGCCAAAATTTAGAGGTCACTTAGAACACTTGCATGCCTTTAGCAGGTGGAAAATATGAATTTAGTACCTGTTTAGCAAGAACAACTACTGACAAAAGGAACTACTAAATGACATGATTTCTTCCTGTAAGCACTCCAGGTGAGCTCCTCTTGGCTCTTTTCTGGGGGCAATCCTGCAGTCTCTGTCCACAGGGCCAGTGCCCTTGATGTCTTATTCTCCCCACTCAGGATGGCATCTTGGGGTCCTCTATGGGGCCTTGGGTTCTGAGATCCCAAGGAATACTCCCCACAAATGAATTTGTCTTTAAAAAGCTGGAGGGGGGGGCAGCTTTCACACTGCGGCCACAGATACCCAAACTGGGATGTCAGGCATGGTGCTAATTACTGGGGATATAAAGAAAGGCAAAAAAATAGTCCCTTCCTTGATAAGCTTACATTCTAAAGGAGGAAAATGTAAATAACTAGGTACATGTAAGAAGATGGAAGTAATCTCAAAGAGGAAGGCATCAGCATATTGAGAACAAGTACACAAGGATTTCTAAGATGTCAACAAAGCAAGTAGGTATCATTATTAAATTTGAAGGGAATTAATTAATCATATCACAACCATTTATGAAGTGCCTACAGAGTGCCAAGCACTGTGCTAGGCACTAGGGATATAAAGATAGAAACAAAACTTCCCTTAAGAAGTTTATATTCTATCAGAAAGTCTGTCATTTGGCTCAAGTACCCCTCGGACAATGGAGATTCTTAGTAAAAATCATGTATTAGCTTCACTGTCCTATACCTACATGGATTTCCAAATGCAAGCACACGTAGTTTCATGAAGCCTTATTTTGCCTGTGCCACGCCCTGGTGTCAGGACACTCACACTAAAAGGTAGTTATCATCCAAATGCCAGAAATAATCAGCCCAGGGTCATTTATCTCAGACACACAGATGCACAGTAACATAGGCTAAGATCTCTAAGGTTTCTTATAGTTCTAAAAATATTTAACAACTAATTTAAAAACTTCTAATTTTCATTTTTTAAAAGTCCTTAGCTTTAATTGCAAAAAAAAAATTGGTGAAGTGAAAAATACTGCATTTTGTAGTGCTCACCTAAGGACTATGATGAATTTTTATCTTCATTTGCATATATGTTCTTTACTAAACTTGAATGTGTATTTCATACCAGCCAGAATTTAAGGCCTAGATTTCTCCAAGTTCTGCTACAGTATACTGAAAGGAAAATGAAGTATTCCCTGTCAACTAAATGTTAATCTCAAGACATGAGTCTTCACTTGTTCATGTTCATTATAAAGTATTTCATCTCATACTTTAAAATAACAGATAAAATAGAAGAATCATACAGCCCATTCCCTCAGAACAGGAATATAACAATTCAAGGATCTTGAAATAAATTATTTCTCAATAATAACTTTGTTCAATGTTTTGACAGAAAGATCAAATAATCAAATACTACAAATATCTAATCTCTATCTGTCCTGACATGAATATTGGTCTTGGTGTCCAACCATAAAATTCAATTCTATTCAACAAACATTCATTTAAGTCTATACTATATGTAAGATGTAAGCACTGGGAGAGTATGAAGATACTTATGACACAAACATTGAGCTCAAGGAGCTTATGCTCTAATAAGGGAGAAATGACATCTACCCAAATAAACGATACATGGTAAAATGTGATAGGTGCAAATGAAAGTTCATTTAAAATACTATGATAAATGTGATCAGGGAATGACACTCTCATATGAGGGAAAGGTTAGGGAAGTAACCCTATTTGGGATCGTAAAGAGAGGGACTTCATTTTTTAAAAATTATTTACTTATTCATTCATTCATTTATTTATGGAATAAAACAAGCAATTCCATAACATAGTATAATAATAATTAAAAAAAAGATTTCCTTAAAGGGATTTCAGTAGATGGAGATGGAAGGAAAAATCCATTCTGGGTGAGGGGGTAGCATGAACAAAGGCAGAGAGATGGGAGAGAGTGAGTGAATAGAGAGCAGACAATAGTTGGGCTGGATATCAGAAAACCCGAAGGGAAACTGTATGAGATGAGACTGGAGACAAACTATAGAAGGACTTGAATGCCAGGATCAGGAGTGTATATTTTATTTAATAATGAAAGAGGAACTACTGAGGGTCTTCACAAAGGAAAGTGACAGATCAGAAAAGTACATGAGGAATTTTTACTAAAAGAGTGCTGTAAGGCAGGACTAGAGTCAGGAAGACTAATCAGGAGGCCATCACAACGATCTAGTCAAATGGCAATGAGGACTTAAAACCAATGGTTGCAGTGGGAGTGGAAAAGATGAGCAGATTCAAGACATAGAATGAATATGACTTGGCAACTGGTTAGATTCAAAGGAAAGGGAAGAATCAAAGATAATCCCAAGCTTACATACTTGGAGTACCAGAAAGATGATGTTGACATCAACGAAATAAAAGAGAGAAATAGAAACGTCAGGAGAAGGGATAGGTTTAGGGTGGAAATTGAGGATTTCATTTTGGACATAATGAATGATTAGGAAGTACTAGTCAGGTAATTCCCATGGAAATATTCAGCAGGCAGTGAAGGGGCAAAAAAAATCCTTTTTTTGCCCAATCATCTTTAGAGTATCAGGGTAATAAGAATATACTTTCACATAATAATCTATTGAGTATTTTTTATTTTGTTGCTATTGGCATCTTCTAACACTGCCCTACAACCTGGAGTTGTAGCAAGAGAACAAAGTTGCAAAAGCTAGTGAATCTTTATCTGTTGTAAAAGAGAATACTTATTTGTTTGGGGCTCTGCCAAATAAAATCTGGTTCCAGAACCTGATTCAAAAGTATTGTACCCAGTTTGCCTTCAACTCACTTTCCCATCTTGTTTCCTAATTCAAAGTATTTCATCACTAAATTGGCATAAAGCTATCTTTTTGGTTTCTTTTCAACCTCTTTTATGTTGACCTAATTCCCTACATGCTATGCTTCCCATTTCATTGACTCATTCATTGTAAGAGCACTTAGCCAGGTATCGGGAAAGATGCAGCATCTATGTAACATGGGATCACTGCCTTCCTCGAGGTCACAGCCTAATCGAGGGACAAGACACCAATATGGATAATTCTATTACAAAGTACACATACTAAGTACATTCTGGAAGGGTAGGACAAAGTACTACGTGATTTCTACCCAATCATTTATTTTATACACTGGAAATGTGTGCTGGATTTTTACAGTATGATACATCAGCTCTTTCCCATTCCTCCCCGACCTAGGGCAATACTTTGTCTGATGTCCAAACAACACAGTCAGGATATAGATTATATCTACAAAGACCTTATAAAATAAATATGGTACATAGTTGTGTGTAGTATATTCTAAAAAGTTTATGTATGTCTCAAAACTAATTAATGTTAATAAATGCTATAGCTCATTAGTATCTCCTTTTATGACTCACCTTCTTCCTCCGCCTTTTCTTTTTCTTTTCTTTGGCAGCTTGTGCTTGTTTGTGCTCCCATACCAGGTTAGTCAGGTTGGCCACGTACTCGTCAGTCTGCTGTAAAAGGTAAGCTAAGCGCCTATCTTTCTTCTGATCGATCAGTTTTCGGTAGCCTTCTTCATCTTCAGCCTTTCAGGGTAATAAAAATGTCCTTTATGTAGAACATTACAGAAAACTCTACTTTCTGGTGTCGAGTTGCTCTTACAAAGACACAGAAGTTATTGAAGCCTGGAACTATGTAAACATACACTTGGAATAGATTGGACAAAACCAGAAAGGTTATCTAGTAAGAGGTCCCTAATGTGACAGAGAAGGAAGTTGAAAACCTGACTTTCTAAAGGTCAAATGCCTAGTAAAGCAGCAGAACTAGAGCTATGTCTTTGACTCACAATCTAAGGCTCTTTCTAGTTGTCAGGCCACAGGACTATAACAATATAACATGAAGAAATAATATGTAAATTACATGTTTATACATAGAAATAATATACAAACTTATAGATATGTTAACTGTATAAAGTTATTTAAGAAAACTGTCAATTCATTTTTTTTTGCTACATAAGCCTACAAAACTTAATCTCATTAACAAAATAAAGTTATTTGTGAACAGTGCATTTAAACTCTTTTGGGCAATCAAGTTTTCTGGACAACAGAAAACTTGGTGGTTTGGAAACTCTCATTGTCTGGCTTCTGGAAATGTGTGAATTTTGCTCACTCTAAGTATTTATATTTCACCTATGTACCTAAAAAATAATTTGTCAGTAAACAACAACAACAACAACAAAAGTTGTTGCAAAAGTTTCAGCTGTTGGAACTGTTCCTCCTTTTTCAACCCCAAAATTTGTTTACTGAAACTGACTCGAATTATCAATTCACTACCTAGAAAAAATGGCATGTTGGCATTGGCATGACTACCTGATAATGAACCTCACTTCATTAATAATATACTTACAAGAATAACCACTGATCAAATATCTGAACCATAAAGTCCAGGACAGTTCAAGATTGGGCATTATTTTCAAAGAGTTTGGGACTACTTATTTATCTAATAGTCATCAAAATAATATTTATTAGGCTTTCTTATCACTTCCTTCCTTACATTGCCTCTCAACTTATAAAAAGGCAGGGTTTTAAATGAAAACACCCCAGGCAAGTCAAGACAAAGAGGAAGCTCCAGACTAGAAGTGAGATCTATTGTGGAGCAACCTTAAGATGGTAAAGCTTGGAGTATATCTCCCTGTTGTTCACCAATGCAAAAGCAGTATCATTATTCACTATAAAATGTTACCTGCCCTGAGTGAATGTGAATTGAAAATGGAGGCATGGTAATGTAATTACTTTTGCTTATGCTTGATCTAATTAAAAAACAAAAGGCAAAAGAACCACAAAATTGAAGGCTTTTTTTTTTTGCTATTAATTATACAATTATTTTAATTCATTTGCAATTGCCTAATCATTAGTGTCTATGCAATTGATTACTAAAGGAGCAAAAAATAATTGAATTAAATTAAAACTCAGGAAAAAAACACAGTAGTTTACAGTATTAGCCACTATGAAATGGGATATATTTGCTATGGACTGTTCAAGATCATGATTAGAACTGGAAGTGCCCCACCATGACTTAGGATATGTGACATTTTCTTACTCTAATGACAAAAGAAGATGAGTAAAGCCAGAAACAGAAACCCTATCCCTTAGAATGTTCTGGGCTTTTCATGAATGACTGAATGTCTTCTTCTATGCAGTCATTACTCCCTAGAAAGTTCTTTGGATCTTCTATCATTGTGTCTTATACACACCCACACACCTCACTACCCCCACCCCCATTTGTGCTGTGAGGTATGTATTGTTTTAAAATCCAAGTTGTGATCTAAAATTGATTACACAAAAGACAAACATATAGCAACTCATAACGATGAACACATCTTGTCTCTTTGAAATGAAATGTCTGCCAACAAATGAGAGGCAGTGTAATACACTGGAATAGATGGTCTATATCAGAGGGCCCATCCCAACTCTGCTACCTTACCACCCGGGACCAGTCACTTAACTTATCTGTCCTCAGTTTCCTCATCTATCAAAGGAGTTGTGCGGGAGATAGACATGATGACAACAACAATAATAGCCATATAGCACTTTAAGGTATACAAAATGCTTTACAAATATTATCTCACTTAATCCTGGGAGAAAAGTGCTAGCGTCTCCATTTCACAGATTAAGAAACTGAGGCAGACAGAGGTGAAGTGACTTGCCCAGGGTCCCACAGCTAGTAAGTGTCTAAAACCAAGCTTCCTAACTCTGGGGGCCCGTACAACGCACCACTCAGCTGAGGAGCTGATCTTAAAGTCCTTCCCGCTATGGTCTACAAAGTGTATATGGGTTGGCATATATCTGATCTCCCAACTGTAATGAATAGGTAAAAAAAAAGGAAGATGTTAAATGATTCTTGGAACCATACCCAAGCTACAGGACAAAAAAAAATAGCATTCTACTGGTGAGTTTAAAAAAAAAAAAGAAAGGAACACCTGAAAAAGCTAGGGAATTACGTTAACAAGTATTGGAAGAATTTCAGAAAGAGGTTTTTCTCTAAGTGGAAAAGGTAGAGAGACTGAGCTATTTCATATATTTGGATCTGGAGGGGACCTCAGAAATCTTCTACTCCAACCCTTTCATTTTAGAAATGAGGAATTAAGGCCTAGAGATGTTATGACTTGCTCTGGCTCACAGAGGCTATAAGTGGCTGAGGCAGGATTTGAACCCAGTCTTCTGGTTCCAAATACAGCACTCCTTCCACTATACCATTTGAAACAGTTCCTGTTCCTAGTCCTGGGATAATACAAAAGAAAAAAACAAAACAAAACACTTTATTTATTTCTAATCTCACAAGGACTTTCTATGCTTCCTTATTTGGCTATCAAAATAATACAGTATAGTACACTGCTTTATATTTATAACTAAGATCTGAATAATGCCAATCCTGGGATATAGTAAAATCTGTACTATTCAAGTGGGTGTGCTATTAAAGTATGGGACATAATAGCTGTCAAATACTACCACATGTTCATTTTGAGATCATAGAAGCAGGGTTTTCAACTTTTTTTGTGTCATGGGCCGCTCTGGCAGTCTGGTGAAGCCTATGGATCCCTTCTTGGAATTAAGTTTTAAAGTAAAATGCATCAAATTACAGAAGAAAACAATTATATTGAAATACAGTCGACAAAATGTTTTTAAAAACAAGTTCCTGGTCCCCAGGTTAAGAGCCCCTGTGGTAGAGCAAAAAGGCCAACTGTAGCAGATTTCAGCAAGTGTGCCTCTTACCATCAGCCTCCTCATTCTTTCCTTTTCGATGCGTTCTGTTTCTTTTTTCTGCTCTCGTTCAGTGTTAGCATGCCAAGTTGCCACTGCTTTAGAAAGTTTCTGAATTTTCCCAGCCACTGACCGGTGGTACTCTTTAAAATCTTTTGCGTGTTGCAAAATGCTGTTCAGGTATTCCTAAGATCATTGAAAAGAGCATAATTAAAACCAGTCTCCAGATGCATAATGAGGTTTTAATGTTTCAAAAGGAACTTTCAAAGCAAATTTAACAGGAATGAAAAAAATTAATGCATGTCATAAAAGCCAAACTATATCTAGTTTTAATTGGAGAGTTTTCCAAAGTGTCATCCATGGGAAGGCTGTCCCTGAGGAACCATTCATAAATATGCCTATGGAGAAGAAGCCATTAAACCATACCAGGGCCAAGATGCAGTGATACTAATAGGTTTGATTAATTGTTCTAAATGAGGCTGACAAAACAGAATTGTATCCCCTGGCATGTTAAATGATAATCTCTCACGTTAACATAAAAATGACCATACATAACACATCTACTACAATACCCTCACTTTAATTTTTTAATTTTTACCAGACCTGTGATCGTAAGTGTAGGACATATTTGGTGAGCACTTGCTCAAGCAATGCCAAACAGAACCTCCCTGTAACCTACATTCTTGCCTTAGAGAACTACTCGCTAATCAGGGAGAATGTTAACAGTCAACATTTGGCAGAAGCCAATCTGGATCCCAAGTCCTTCTGACTCAAGGCAAACTCTCTATCCATATACCACACTACCAATCTTTGAATATCTCTTTTGAATTTTCTAAAAATGGCTTACAATCATCCATTAAATGCCTCCTTTAATGATGTTGCATCATGGCAAATACCTATACCAATGAAGCACAGGTGTAAGCTGAAAATGTTTCAGGTATAGATAACTGATAGGCAGAGGTCCTCTTCACAAGAGGGTGGCCACTAGGGAAATAGTTGTTTTTGTCCACAAGAAGTCAAGAAGAACATGCATTAAGATATGGAATTACAAATTTTTACAACCAGTATCTCTGATAAGGGCCTCATTTCTAAAATATATAGAGAACTAAGTCAAATTTATAAGACTGCAAGTCATTCTCCAATTGATAAATGGTCAAAGGATATAAACAGGCAATTTTCTGAGGAAGAAAATAAAGCTATTTATAGCATGTGAAAAAAATGCTCTAAATCACTTCTGATTAGAGAAATGCAAATGCAAATGACTTTGAGGTACCATATCACACCTATCAGATTGGCTAACATGACCAAACAGGCAAATGATAAATGTTGGAGATGTGGGAAAATTGGAACACTAATACATTGTTGGTGGAGTTGTGAATTGATCTAATCATTTTGGAGAACAATTTGGAAGTATGCCCAAACAGCTATAAAAATGTGCATATCCTTTGACCCAGCAATACCACTTCTAGGACTGTATCCCAAAGAGATCATAAAAATGGGAAAAGGACCCACAGGTACAAAAATATTTATAGCAGCTCTCTCTGTGATGGCAAATAACTGGAAATTGAGGGGATGCCCATCAATTGGGGAATGGCTGAACAAGTTGTGGTATATGAGTGTAATTGAATACTATTGGGCTAAAAGAAATGATGAGCGGGCAGATTTCAGAAAAACTTGGAAAGACTTGTATGGCCTGATGCTGAGTGAAATGAGCAGAACCAAGAGAATGTTGTACATAATAACAGCCACATGGTGTGATAGAACTATGGCGTTTGAATGTAGATCAAAGCATACTATTTTCTCTTTTTTTCCTTCTGTTTTGTTTTGTTTCTGCTTTCTTGTGGTTCCTCCCATTGGTTCTAATTCTTCTTTACAACATGACTAATATGAAAATGTTTAATAGGAATGTATATGTAGAGCCTATATCAGATTGCACCCCATCTTGGGGAGGGAGACCAGCTGGGAAGGGGAGAAAATTCAAAACTCAAAAGCATATGGAAGTAAATGTTGAAAACTAAAAATAAATTAATTTTTTAAAAAAAGATATGGAGATACAATCTACACTGGTAAAGGGAATACTCAAACCGATAATATCAAAGATATTTAAAGTATTAAAGAGTGATGTAGCTAAAGATAGCACCTACAAAACATGGCTAATTAAATAGTGGTGGATTGCCCATGATCACAAACGTGTTCCAGGAGACAAGCTTCACAGTGAAATATTCTCCTGCTTCTGGAGGTAGAAGGGCAAGGAGCGCACTGGCCTGAGAAATCAAGAAACCTGGGTTTTGGTCACATGACTGCAGGCAACTTTCTTGACCTCTTTGGATGTCAGTTTCCTCCTGTATAAAATGATAGAGTGAAGCTTTATAATCTCTAAGTTTAATGCAATTCCTTCATCTCCAGGGTCCTCATGAAGTCCATACGAACATGTTATACCAAGGGCTTATGGCCATAAGCAGTTTTGAACTACTTCCTTTCTTGTAAATTGGATTTCTATTAATAACAGACGCTAAGGAAGAGGGGGGTGGGGGAAGGGCAAGTCAGAATACCTGGTGCTTCTGTCTGCGCTTCCTCTCCTGTTCAATCTTCTGTTGTTTCTCAAGCTTTTCTGTCATTCGGGCTTCCCTCAGTGTTTGCCTCTTGCTGCGTTTGTAGGCTTTGGAGTTCAGGGCAGTCTCTAAGGTTGTGTCTCGACGCATACAGGCTACCACTTCTTGTCTTAACTGTCAAGAGGAAAAAAGACAACATCCCTTAAATGGAAGTTGGATATCTTTGACCTTAAATACAAGATGGCCCAAAGCTTTAGTGAAGTTTTAAGCTATTAGAACTTGTGTTTTACATTAACAGAATGTACTTTAAGTCAGCTTTTTTCATTGTGGTTGGCCTTAACTAAGGTTTCTACAAAGTTTATTAACCCTCAGAGACAAATAGGGGAAAAACTATATTAAAATACTGAAATTAAATTATATTTTTAATACTAGCATAATTTTTCTTCTGGTAGAGGTCCATTAGTCATTAAAAAAATAACCATAAAAATGAAATAAAGTCTTCCCTGATTACCTCATTTGAAATTGACATCTCTTTCTTCATATTTCTTATAGCACAGGGGCTAAATGTTTCCTTTGCCCTTATCATCATCTCCCTTGTATCATACTTATTTAGGTGTGTGTTCCATGAGAAGGTAAGCTCCTCAAAGGCAGGAATGGTGGTGTTTTTCTTCCTGGTATCCTTTCTATATAAGCACTGTGCCTTGCATATAAACCAAACTTAATAATTTTTTGCTAATTTTAATTCAATTAATATAAAATGTCAGATGAGTACCTTCTATATTTTAAATGTCGATTTATTTTTGCTTAGTCTTGCTTTGTTTTTCATTTAAAATTAAAAAATTTCTCTTTTTTAGGACTATGGATTGACTTCAATAATGCTATATGACAAAAACATTTTCATTTTATATTGTAACATATTAACAGATTCTTAATATGATCCATTTAATGGTTCATTTACAGAGAATGTAAGTATTGGTTGCAGGTTATAGCAATTCTACATACATGTGTATATGTCTGTTATGTATAATATGTAATTACATATATGTGTGTGTGTGTGTGTGTATACACACATATATATATACACAAACACAAAACACTTGTGTGTATATATGTATCAATGTTCTTTGTGATTAAAAGCTTATTATGAATCATATTGAATACTAAGCCTACAATATATATTTTCCTATCAGATGACCTGGAAACAAGATTAAATTTAATAAGCTCTCACATGGTGGTCAGAAGAAGCAATACAAGGACACTCTCAAAGTCTCACTGAAGAACTTTGAAACTGATTGCATGACATGGGAGACACTAGCACAGGACTACCCAGCATGACGTGCCCTCATCAAAGAAGGTGCTGTGCTCTATGAGCAAAGCAGAACTGAAATAGCTCAAAAGAAATACAAGATGCACAAATTTTCTTTTTTGTTTGTTTGTTATTTTTGGTGAGGCAATCAGGGTTATGTGACTTGCCCAGGGTCACACAGCTACTAAGTGCCAAGTGTCTGAGGCTGGATTTGAACTCAGTTACCCCTGACTCTAGAGCCAGTGTTCTATCCACTGTACCACCTAGCTGCCCCAAGATGCACAAATTTAGAGAATCCATCCTAAACGTTCACAGGGACTATTTGTACCCAATCTGTGGTAGAGCATTCTAAGCTTGTATTGGTCTGATCAGCCACAGCTGGACACACTGTAACTTGATTGTAACATAGTGGTATCATTTTGGTACTCTTTGAGAATGAAAGACATCAGCTAACCAATCAATAAAAATTACTTAACTTTAATTTAGTTCTAAGTTTGTAAGTAGAGGTAATAAAATTCTCAAAAAACGTTAAACCAAGAAAATCAGATAAAACTAAATGGTAAACAGAATTATATAGCCAAAACTGAAGTCAGCTTTAAAAGCCACCAACTGTGACACATTGGTTAACATTGTCCATTCACTAAAGTTTTAGCTTGTGTTTATGTTGCAGAATTTACACTTAGGATAGAGGAAATGGACTTGAAAATACTTTTTTGTTTTTCAATTTTTAAAACTGCTTGTTAGCTTTGATGTCTCCAAACTAACATCTATTCAAACAAAAGAAATTACAAGGTGATAAAATCAATATAACACTAGATTAATCATGTCAATTTTCAACAATTCAGTTCAACAAACATTTATTGGACATCTACCTAGTGCAGACATCAGTGCCAAGTACTGAGGAGGGATAGACACCATTTCAATAAGACATGGCCCCTGCCCTCATGAAGTGTTATGCTTAATAGTAGGACTATAACACCTATACAAAAAGCTCTAACAAAATAATATATACATGTGTAAAAGAGGTATAAAATGCTATGTGAGGTCCTAGAACAGTAGTTTATTATCAGCAGAAAGATCGCAGAAAATGCTTTCCTGAGGGAGACAATATTTAAACTAAGCTTAAAAGGATGGGTATGATTTCAACAGACAGAGAGGGAGAAGAGCATTTTAGGTACAGGAAATATGGTGACCGATGGCACAGAACCAGAAAGTACAAGCTGTGGAAAGTAAACTGTTCAGTGTGGTGATAGCACAGAGTATGTAGCAGCAAATATTATGAGATTAATCTAGGAAGACAGGATGGTAGCAGACTGGGGGAAGGCCTTGAATGTCAGGAGGCAGAAGGAGTTTGAGATGCAGTTAGTAGGCAACAGACATCCACTCGAGAGCTTAAAGCATGAAATAACCAGATGTAGGCCTACAGAAGTTTAGTCTGGCAGTAGTGTTCCAGATCCAAAGATTACAACACAACCTAAAGACCACAGAGGTCACATTGAAACCACTAAGATGAACATGCCTACAGTTTTAGTCATATCCTCAAACATGTCAAGTCATGCAATTCCATTACTTTGAAATAGTTCTGATCATGAATAATTGTTTTCCCATGCTATGAAATCTTAAAGAAAAAAAATCATAAATGCTCATTCCCACTGTTTACTAAGGCAACCCATAGCAAAATTGACCAATTTACTTTGGGTCAAAACTGGTATATACTAAGCATCAAAACTTAACAAAAAAAAATCATGTTAACATGAATCTGTGATCTTATCAATGCCATTCCTACCTCCATTAGTGCAGATCCCAAATCCTCCCTTCCAAGCTTCCTAAACCTGTATAATTCTTGTCCATTTCTTCCTAAGTTGTTGCTCAGTTATTTCAGTTGTGTCCAACTTTTTGTGATGCCATCTGGAGTTTTCCTGGCAGAAATACTGGAGTGGTTTGCCATTTCCTTCTCCAGATCATTTTATAGATGAGGAAACAGAGGCAAATAGGGTTAAATGACTTGCCCAGGGTCACAAAGCTAGTGAGTTTCTGAGGCCAGATCTGAATTCAGGAAGACAATCTTCCTGACTCCAGGCTCAGCACTCTATCCACCTGGTCATGCCCTCCATAAGTCTTTATCTAATATGATTGTGGCCTTCCTCCTTTTATATTTTGTCCACATACGGCAGCCCTAGTTTATCTGGCTGTGCCTAGGAGCACCTTCTTGTCCTGTTTATAACCATCTCTGATTATTACTTGTCACATCCAAGTCATCCCTGACTTAGAACTACACACACAACTTTCTGTTGCCCTTAACCTGTAATTTTTATTTCTGGTGGTGTTCCATCAGGAACATCACCAGGAAAGCCCTAATGTTTCAAATACGAGTCTTTGTGGCAGCAAACAGGTCAGGATCATTGAAATTGAGTGATTTCCTAAATCCAGCTTGATCTTTCTCCCTCTTCTATTCAAGTCTGGGCCTGGCTCACTTTTTCTCTACAGTGCCTACTGGAGATATAAGTACTAATGAACTGAATGCGAAACCATCTAAATGCACATCATTATCTGAGCAACATGAATTTATCATTCAGTGTGTTTTTTCAGTTTTGGCAGTCAGGCTGGTTAGTTTGCATTACGTAGAGAAGATTCATGTATTCTGAGATTTCACAAGATCCACACAATATTATCTGCATCCTTGAATAATCAGAGTCTCCTTCTGTCTGTGGGGATTTGCTTTTCTTTTTGGATGGAGGGCAGGACATCCTCCATGACACCATTAGCACTGCAGAGGGCATATCCCCTTGGTAGATGTTGTGCTTAATATACATGTTCAGCTGGTCTTTGAACAGTTATTTTCTCAGTTACCTCTGTCACAGAATCTTTTAGAACTTTAGGCTCAGGAGATGCCTCATTCTAAGGGGAGCTTTTAAAGCTGTATTTTGTTCTACTTGGAGCAATGCTCTTTTGAAGTCAACAAACCATGCATGCTGAATGACCTGCTATCTTTTGCACCTCAGTCGGCTGTGTGAATATGAAGAAGAAAAATCTTCTGAGAAAGGCTGTTTCCTTCTCTTGATTTCATCAGTACCCAAAACGAGGGCATATCATTCATGCATTCAACAAGCATTTATGAAGGAACAACTGTGTGCAGAGCGCTTTGACTACCAGTTCCTTAAGAACTAGGCCTGTCCTTTACTTTCTTTGGATGCCTAGCACTTAGTCCAGTGCCTGGCACACAGTAGCTGTTTAATAAGTGTTTACTGACTAGACACTGGGGGAGATATAATCTAATTGGGAAATAAGAAACTAATACAAGTATTTGTAATGCACAATATTACATGATTAAGTACACTGCATGCAAAATAAGTTTCTCTATGTGGTCTGAAAAAGGTTATAATTAATAGGGGGAACTGAGGAATGCTTCCTCAAAGAGGTGCCAATTAAGTTAGCTTGAAAGGACAGATGGGAATTAAATGGATGAAGGGGGAGAGGGCTGATATTACAAGCACAGTAAAGAGGTGCTTTAGAGGTGAGGAAGAGGGTAGTTCAGTTCTGCTGGAGTCCGCAGTGCATAAACGGGAATAATATGAGATAAAACAAGAAAGGTAAGGTGGTGTTAAGTGTTATGGGATATACATCAGATTCAGCCTATTTGACAAATGACTGACTGGTGATTGGTTTCTCTGTACCTAATGCCTCTCTGAGCTTCAGTGACTGAAAAGACTTAGAGAATCTCAGAGCTAGAAGGAAGCTCAGAAGCCATGCTTATCAACTCATTCTTATCCCCTTTATGATATAACCAACAAGTAATCTTGAAGACCCCCAATGAGGGAGAAAACCACTACCTCCCAAGACGCTCAGTTCCAAGTTCCAATAGCTCTAA